AAAAATTACATTAACATAAAACTAGGATAAGTCTGATCTCCATTTTCTATTTTGTTGCCTTTGTTTTTTATTTGTCTTGCCCAATGAACATCCCTTGTTACTTCTTTTTCTATCTTTCCTTCAATACGTCGATATTCTGGTGACTATTCTGTACGACAGAGGTCTACAACCATATAGTATCCGGTGACTTTTCAAACTGGACCGGCCATCTCAGTCCTGCTTACTGGCCTTGGCTTTTGGACACCCCGCTTGCTGTATGCCCGGCTTCTGCGAGGGAAGTTGGCCGTGGAGAGCCTTATCTTCACCTACAAAATCCCGCTCGTCGACAACCTTATGGATCAGCTTCAGAGGCTCTTACGCCTTCCCCCTTGCTTCCCATTTATTCTGGGCCTCTTGATAGGTCGAATAGAATCGACACCAGTCATTCCATCGTCAGGCCTCCCGATCCCGATTCGTCTTCATCTCCATCTTCAGCCCTGCTCCTCCATTCTCATCCAGACTTCCATATTCAAAATGTTTCAACCTCGAATAATTCTGTCCTGGGTGCAATTAAAGAGAATGAGTTGACTACAAAGGTGGCAAATTGGCGCCGAGTGCCTGGTTTAGTGGTGCAGCGACCCCAGGAATCGCCCTGTATTCTGTTGACCGCAAGCCAAGTTGAACTGATGATGGCGAGTCGTAGTTCTGGTGATGGAGAAAATACAAGTCTTATGCGAAGGGGCAGAAAGGGGGATGATAAGGGTGATGTAAATTTCATAATGGATCAGTTGAGATTGGCTACAGAATTGGAGTTTCCTAATGTATCTAATTTGATTTTAAAAGAAAAAAAAGAAAGCGAAGTGTGGGCGCAATTGCTTGAAGAAAAAGAAGGGGACAAATTTGGCATGACTGTGCGAACAGAACAAGAAGAAAACCAAAAAGAAAATAGCGAAATTGAAATAAAGGAGGGAGACATTACAAAGCAATTAGAAGTTAAAAAAGAAGAATCAGAAGTCGAAACAACAGAGCAAGGATACAAGGAGAATGGTGGGGATATAAGAAGTCAAAAAAGAGTAGTCACATCTTTAGAATTCGAGAACCGTGAAGGGATTGACGATGTCATGACTACATTTCATTTATCAGAAGGTGAAATTTCGTCACCAATCACTCTCCCTTTTTGTCCTTCTAC